GGGGAAAAACAGTTTATCTGAAAATTGATGAAAATAAATGTTCTCGGGAAGAAATATGGAATATGGTACTTAAAATTTCAATTTCTAAATTGAAAAGCATATTAGATCCAGCTGAAGAGAGCATTAGTGGATTGGATGATAGATCTGAGGGATTCTCCCAGCAGGCTACATAGAGTGGTTGAGAGATGGAAATACACAAAGGTGCCTGAGCGTTAACAGACATCAGAATGAGAACTATAATATTCCTAAAGAAGTTCTAGGAAAAGAGAATGGAATGTCAGAGGGATTAACTAAATAGATAATGGCAAGAATTTTTAAGTATTCATGGATCTTTAACTTGAAAATATACCAAGTACCAAAGAAGATAAATAAAAACAAAATCAGTACCTTGACTCATCTTCGTGGGACTGTAGAATTATAAAGACAGAAATAGTGTTAAAAATTAAGCAGAAAGCAATGCATGAAAAAAGGGCAAAAACTGTAATCAGAGACTTCTAATCAATATTTATGAATGCTAGAATAAAATGAAATGGTATCTTCAGTGTTTGAGAGTCAATAAAGTTGACTTTATAACAACTCAGTTACTGTTCAGTTATGAATAAATGCTAAATAATAAAAATGAAAGCAAAAGAAAATAACTAGGAAAGTTTACCATTCATAGATAGATCCTCATTGAAAGAGATACTGAAGAATGTACTTAAAGAAAAAGAATAGTGAGATGTCTAGAAAGTAAAGATAAAAGATATAACTGAGAAAAAAAATTGCTTAATAAAAAGGCAAATTGTTGCATAAACCCTGATGGTTTTTAAAAGCAACTGTCAAATTTTAGATTTGAAAAATCAAGATGGAACCATAATTTCAGATTAAAAACACATGAAAAATTGAAGGGAGCGATTGGATTAAAAGAATGTTATGTTCTTGCTTTTTTCAGGAGGAAGAGCTTTACACATTGTAAGGATATGTGGTAGTCAGGAAAAGTAACATTCCCTGCAAAGATGTTTATGCTGTAATTTCCAGAACCTGAAAATATGTTATCCTGTATGGAAGAAATGACTGTACAGATGTGATTATATTAAGGATCTTGAGGTGGTGAGATTATCCTGGTGTGAGGAAAAGAGAGAAGAGAGTCAGAGAGGGTCGTATGATGATGGAAGCAGGGGGCAGAGTGATGGAATTGTTGGCCTTCAAAATAGAAGGAGGCCCTGAGTCAAGAAACCTGGGTAGCCTCTGGAAGCTAGCGAAGGCAAGGAAACATATTCTCATCTAGAGCTTTCAGAGGGAACATGATACTGCTGACACATTGATTTTAGTGCAGTAAAGCCCGTTTCAAACTTCTGGCCTTCAGACTGTAAGTTGAAGTTTTGTGTTGTTTTAAGCCACCAAATTTATGGAACTTTTACAGCAGCCATAGAGAACACATATATCATACTTTAAAATGTAAAAGGAATCACACATCAACCACAATTTAATGTTACTTTCAAAGTAGCCAAAAAAAAGTGAGTGAAAAATAAAAGGAAGAAAGAGAAAAAGAAGAACAAAGAAATAGAACTTGGTAAATAGAAATCATAAATAATAGAAATCCAAAGATATCAACAATAAAATAGAAAAGGATTAAATTCATTTATAAAGATATTATATAACTAGCTTTTAAAATTTTCTCTATGTTCTCAGAGAAAATGGATGTTAACAACAAAATGAAAGCGATAGGACAAGCAAATACTAATGCAATACTGTATATTAATATTTGTTAGTATCAGACACAATCCACCTTAGCAAAGTAAACATATGGATTTTACATGATAATAAAAATAATAGTTCAAAATAAACAAACTTAGAGACTGAGTACTTAATAAACAATAAACTTTGAGATAAACAAAGCAAAAATTAGAATCACAGGGAAACATCAAAAAAATTATAACCACAATGGAATTTTAACAGTCTTTTCTCGGTACCATGTAAAAATCAATCCAGAATTGATTATTCTACGTAACAATTGTATATCAGAGCTTTTAAGAGCTAGATGGAACTGCACTCCAAAAAAAAAATATACATTTCTAATATACAAGGAACATTTACGAACACACATACACACACACATATATATACACATATATAGATATATGTATGTATTAAATCACAAATGCTGCTAATGAGCCAAGCAAGATGTGAATTGAAAGCTAACCATTATCAAGATCAACGTAGACTTCATTGGTGAATAGGCAAAAGTATTGTGCTTTAATTTTAAAAGTCTTTTTTTTTTTTAATCATTTAGATACAGCTTTCAGATCCTGTAACAAACAGAGGAAATTTTTTTTAAAAGATAATTTTACTTTCTCATTTATGTACACACAAAAGACCTATTGTAATATTGTTTGTGATAGTAAAAATTGTATAGAACCTAAAAGCTTATTGCTAAGAAGTTGCTTATATTATGATACACTAATAGCAGCAATAAAAAAAATCCCCAACAGAACATCACAACTAACTTTTGAGAGCTTACTTTGTGTGTGGCATTGTTTTAAATACCTTATATGTGTTAACTCATTCCCCTTGCACAGTAACCTAGGTTTTTAAGGTTTTATGTATGTTAAATCATTTAAATTGAAGAATAAACCTAGGTGGTAGATATTATTACTATCTTTATCTTTTTGATGAGGTTACAGAGGCACAACAAGGCTAAATAAGTTGCCTAAGTTCATGTAGCTAGTAAGAGGTAGATTAAAAGTTTTGCTTTCATATATTCTGCCTCCAAATCTCATAACTTTTATTAAGATATATTAAATTATGTTCTATGAAATCCTAAATAATTGATAACAAAAGTGAAGCATTCTTAGGAATGCTAAGATATAGTTTCAGATAAAGAGTAAAAATTATAAAATATTATACATAGTTAGATCCCATTTATGTAAAATAATAATTTCTTTATACCATTAATAAAATGATTATCAATCTTTAAAAAATTTTGCCAGTCTTATGACATAAAATATTATGTTGTTTTAAGTTGTATTTATAACATTTAAATCTTCTATCTGGAAATAATTTTTGTGTTACATGAAGTAGGTATCTCCCAGTAATTTTTCAAATGGAAAGCCTTGTCCCAATACCAGATACTAATTTTTGTAATAAAATAATAGAACACTGTAAAATTCAAAACAAGATGGGATCTTACTTTTGAAATATTGTCCATAATATGGGAACTGTCTAATGTCTGAGGATTAATTATATCATGTACAAATGTGCTATAAAATTTAATCTTCCATATCTTAGAATTAAAAATCTTATTCACAATTTTATTAGATTCTTGGAGATAACAGATGTGTTTCAATTACTCATATAACTATTAAAAATGAGTCACATGATGTTTTGTTTGTAGAAAATAATTTATCTTTATTTCAGTTTTCTATTTTTCTTTCTAGGAAAGATTTCTGTGTGCACAAAGATGAACCATGTGATACTGTTGGTAAGTATAAAAATTCTCACACTTTTGGAGTTCTGGAGAACTTGAACACATCACTTGTTTAAGTATATGAAATTATTTGTGTTCTGGTTATAAAGGAATAACTTCAAAATGTCAGACATACATATTTTCTACCTATATGTTTAATCGTTTGTCAGCACTTCAGTTATTAATTAAATAGCTTAAAGACACATGTATCAACTATATGTAGGAGATAATCTTTAAGTGATGCTTTGAGGCTATAATCAGTCTTTTTTTGTTATTTTCTCAGAGATACGCACATGAGTTTGATAAAATTTTATTATTATTAATAACCCAAGACAAAATATATTAATGACATTGTGATTGACTAATTTGCAGGATAACAGATTGTTTTTTATGTGTGTTTAAAAATCTTTGCAGACTGTGTCAAAATAAACTGCTGATTCAGTATGATTCTTCTTATGTAAAGTAGCAAATTTTTCACCATTTATATTAGATATCTAAAGTGCCTAAAACAGAACCATATAGCCAACAGAATTCATGAAACCACTGTTCTAATTTTGAGAGAATGGCCACATATATTTTCATGTTTTAAAATGTATCCATATAAATATAAATGTATCTATCCAAAGATACCCCAATCTCTCTCTCTCTCTCTCTCTCTACATATATATATATATATATTTAATTTTAAGTTATGTAGCTGTGTGTAACAATATATTATTGGTAAGGTACATTTAAGAGTTGTAATCTAATTTTGGCGTATCATATAGGGTTCATTTCTATAAGATGAGCAATATTTTAACTTGACCATTTTGTTGTGTCATTTGTTTTTTATAAAGTGAACAATAATAAACAATAAATAAACAATAAATAAAAGGGGGCAGAAACAGAACATAGGGATATTAGTATTTTAAAAGATAATTCTAACCAGTTCCATTAACCTAATTTTTCATCAACCTCCTCATATGTTTAACATCTTGGATAATATAAGGATTTTTGACATGTATTATTCATAAAACTTACGATGGAAAGTAGTTATAATAATGTAAAGTGGATGATGATGGAATCAAGGGAATATTTGGTTCAGAAGGAGCTGTCAGCATAAAAAGAGCTGGGCACCTAAGGAAAAGTGGAATTGATGTAGGGACCATCTTCCTACTGTTGACTCTCTTGCCTGCTTCCCCTCCAGTTTTCTTCTTTTCCTGTCTGAATCTCCAGAAATTAAAACTTAGTATCTAGTTTTTGTTACCCTAACCATGGAAGCTTTTGATTACCAGTAAAACTTGTCTCAAAATAATAACCTTTTCTTTCATGCAAGCAGCAATGTTGCCCCTATTTATTATTATTAAAGCCTTCTTTAATAGGGACAGCTCACATCTTGCCTTGCTCGAGTACATGTGAGAAATCAGCAACTCAGGTGACACCTTCCATAGCTATACACACGAACTGACTCTTTATAGCCTGTAAGCAGCTACTAATAAGAACCAATTTCTGTTTTGATAACAACAGAATTTCACATCTTGCTAAATCTGCTAATTCAAAATTGTGTGTATATTTGTGATATGGTATCTGGAAATTTTATTTTCTAATTTAAAACACATTTGCGTAATTGAGTACCTCAGTGTGTTCTGATAATCAGAGTATGTAAGATTTGGCAGGAAAGCAATTTATTGAGTCTTTGGCTCTATTTGTCCTGTTCATTAAGATCTTCAAAAAAATCAGTTTAAAATATTATAGCATAGGGTGTGAAAATTCCAGTGCCCTTCCTGAATTTTGTTTTGCTGATTCCTTAGGTTGTCATCGGCACCTCTGGCATCACTAAAGCCTAGTTCTCTCTTCGTATCTTATGGCAGATTTTTTTCCTTTAGCCCAAATATAGATGGGATCTTTCCCTATGTAGTCTCGAGCAGAGTGAAAATATGAAATATTTCTTCAAGACAGATAAAATGAAAACTTATAACAACCAAGTCAAAGTAATCTGTTTTACCCAAACCCCACGAAAACCTTCTTGTCACACTACCTATGCCTATGTATAGAGTCATATACAGTCAACCTTCTGTATCATGGACTCCAACCACTTGTGGTACAAAAATATTTTGTCTAAATAAAAATATGAAGTAAAATGCAGCAATAACAAAAATACAAATTAAAAATAATGCAGTATAACCACTATTTACATAGCGCTTACCTTGTAAGTGCTAAGTATTATATTAGGTATTAAAGGTAATCTCGAGATGATTCAGATTATAGGAGAGGATGTGTATAGGTTATAATCAAATACCACCCCATCATATAAAAGGAATTGAGCTTTCATGGATTTTGTTATCTGCAAAGAGTCTTGGAACTAATCCCTCATGGATACAAAGGGACAACTATATTAATAAGATTTATAAAGACATTTGTGAGACACAGACACTGTGATTGCCACCTCATCATCCATGCATCTACCACTGTGTAGCTGCAATGCTATGTTAGGAAAGGATAGCCCTGGGGGTTGGGTCATGATTTGTCTGGGCCTATCATGGGGATTGTTTCAGGACCATAGGCCTAAGCCAGTCAGCACATGCCATTGCCCAAGTGGAGACATATGATCTGTTCCCTATATTTGCCTCATGAAGCTGAAAAAGGTAGCATTTTTGATGGTTAGAGCTTGATCATTTATGCCTCCACTGGATATAAATAAGGAAGGATGCAACCCTTATCACTGTAATCAGGAAGGAAACCATCCTTGTGATGAATCTGACATCACATACTGCAGAATGAAGAGATGGAAAGTATCTTTCTCTTGGATAACATTGTTGAATCCTCCAATCCTGGAGCCCAGTCTAATGTTTGGGTTTCTGAATATGTGAGTCAGTATATCCTTATTACTAAACCAGTTTAAGACTTTTACATTCCTTGTAGCCTAAGGCATAAAAATCTTCCCTGATACTCATATTTTCATTTACAGGGCAAGAAAAATATGGGGCAATATTAATAACCTCTACTGTTATTAAGAGAAAATGCTGGTAAACTGCTCTGTGACTTCTTAAAAAATTAAATGAGCATGTATATAGCTTATCAATCATCTTAATAGCTATCAATCTCTAGTAAAACAAAGCTGAAGTGATTTAGGGTTAACATCAATAAAAGGTTTATGCATACACATTTTAAAATCTCTTCATATAATCCAAAGGGATATATTTTTTGGTAGATGCTTTTAAGTCATTGTATACTTCTTTTCCCTTTTATCTATAACCAATGTGAAGTCAGCCATTTTACTTTTAATACTATAATGAAAATATGGAGAGAAGAAAGAGAAAGGAAAGAAGTGGATTTAGTATTTATTAGTTTGGATCATGTAGGGTTGAATGATGACTTTAAGATGCTTCTCCCTACTCTCCTAGGTATAGTAAGAGGAAAGAACAGCACTTAGAGGATTTGAATGTATATTATTAATGTGAGTTATAAATGGAGAGGAATGCTTGTATTTTCAAAGCAATGGTAAGATTTATGCTTTGCATTGTAATGCAAACAGTATTTTCATGGACATTGTCTCATTTAATTCCATCAAAATCTGAACTCTCTAGTTTTGTTATCATTATTATTTTACAGATGAAGAAAGCCCTGAAAAACAAACGGATCATAGATTTTGAAGTCAGATATCTAGATTTAAATCAAGGCTATGCTACTTATTAACTACGTGAATGTGGGCACACTAACACCTTGAAAGCTTGGATTCCTCACCTTTAAAATAGAGGCTACATCTTCTGTCTCACAGAATGTTGTGAAACTGTGACAGTTGCAAAGCAGCTAGTTAATTGGCATTTCATCTGCACCAGTTTCTATCACATCCTCATGGAGAGGTTACAGATTTGCCCAGAATCACTGATAGTAAATGGTAGTGCTAGACTCTACCTCAGATCTTCTGACTGTACTGTCACCTCTCTTTTATAACATAATTCATTTTTATGCCATAGATAAAAATACAACTAGAAAACTGAATGTGAGAAAAATGTCTTCAGATGAAGATACAGAATTAAATTGGAAATGACAAACACAAACTTTGAAATAATTTTATGTACCAGTATTTCAGCTTTAAAACAATAGGATATTGTGCTCATTTGCTGAGTCAAAATGTTTGTGCATTTTAAATAAGTTGGGCTCTATTAATGTTACGGAATATTGTTAAGTAAGTGTTTTCGTTGATAAATTATAGTTATTTACTAAGCTTACATTTGAAAAGCTACATAGGGGATAAAAAGTAAAAATAATTTTTACCACCTTCTCAATTACACATTTTTTCCTGTTGATTTAGTTATGTAGATGGTTTGGTGGGTCAGTAGGTAGGTATGTAGATCATGGAAGAAAATATATGGTATTATATGTTTTAATCCATTAAAATATCAATTTTAAAACATGTGCATTTATCTTTTTTTTCTTTTGATTTTTTTGAGATGGAGTCTTGCTCTGTCGCCCAGGTTGGAGTGCAGTTGCGTGATCTTGGCTCACTGCAAGCTCCACCTCCCAAGTTCACGCCATTCGCCTGCCTCAGCCTCCCGAGTAGCTGGACTACAGGCACCTGCCACCATGCCTGGTTAATTTTTTGTATTTTTAGTAGAGACAGGGTTTCACCGTGTTAGCCAGGCTGGTCTGGATCTCCTGACCTTGTGATCCGCCTGCCTTGGCCTCCCAAAGTGCTGGGATTACAGGCGTGTGTTTACCTTTTAAATCCCTGAAATTAGGATTCATTTTGCAATGAATGGCTTACCAGGGTTGTCACAGTTTAATTTAAAGTTTTAAAAATCTTACATTGAATGAACTATGGTAGTATATTTAAATTTTAAGGGAAATAAAGTGTATTCCATTATGCAAGTGGAACTATCTCTTTGCTGCTATTGCTTATGAAGTTGCCTTAATTTTTGTGGTAGGCAGAATAATGGTCCTTAAGAGCGTATTTGCCCCAGTCCCTGGAATTTATGAATATGTTAGGTTACAAAGCAACAAGGAATTAAGGTAGTAGATGGAATTAAGGCTGC